GCAATGTAATGCAATGCAATGCAATGCAATGTATCCATGTATGCATGTATGTATACAGATGACAAAAAATGCAAACATGCTAAACCCTAAACCCTAAACCCCTAAACCCTAAACCCCTAAACGCCTGAACCCTAAACCCCTAAACCCTAAACCCCTAAACCCCGAAACCCTTAACCCTAAACCCTAAGGCACAGCTCGCAGGGGTCAGGGCTAATCACGGAGTGCGTCCTTGACATACTCCAAGCGGATCTTCTCGGAGCCTGGGAACACGTCTCTGCAAGTTTAGGTTTAGGGTTTAGGGTTTAGGGGTTTAGGGTTGAGGGGTTTAGGGGTTTAGGATTTCGGGTTTAGGGTCAAGCGATCAGAAGGCCCCAGAGTCCCAAACAATTACTAGCCTTCGGGGTTCAAGGGTTGAGGGTGCTACCCTACTAATTATTGACTCGTCTATCCCCTTGTAGAACATCTTCCCATTATGGGATACCAGAACATATTGATGAGAGTCGTTGATATTAGGGAGTTGGGAGGGGGTCTTACAGTCCCAAGTAGATAGAATATGGGGTACATGGGGATCTTATTGTAATATACCCAGGGCAATATTCTATCTACTTAAGGGGGACTATAAATCTTAAGGGGAGCAGGGTGATCCAGAATTTCCGACAACTCTGCACCTGCACATCTTGCTGTTGTAGGTCCTTCGGTTTAGGATTCTTGGCTTAGAGTTTGGGGGGGTTTAGAGGGTTTATGGGGGGTTCAGGGTTTGCGGCGTTGAGGGTTTAGGGGGTTTAGGGCGTTGTACCTGCGGCTACCTACTTTCTTAGGCGGCCTGAATAATTACCGGTATCATGTTCAGGCCTAGTTGGGGTACCCTATACCATAATTATACAAGGAGAATATGGGGCCATGATATAGGTAACCATGAGTCCGGTGTCCATTTGATGCTCCAACTTCTTGTCCATTTGATTTCCCATTGTTCTGATACAACCTGAACCCTGCATATCCCTACGCTCCAAACTCTAACCATTTGGGCCAATATTTCGGCACCTGCATTATTCATGAACCTCCCAGCACCAGAGCCCCCAGGAAGTAAGCGCCCAGCCCAGAAGCTTGGATTTCTCCGTATTTGTCTTCACAGCCTCAGTCACGCAGGATCAAGGACGTAGGACTTAGGGTTTAGGGAAATACCATACATGAAGCCAAAAAGGTAGGCAAAATAATGGCCCAGAACCCCTGGGAACAACCAAACGTACTTTGGGTTCAGGTTATGGCGCTGTCTTGTGATACCTAAGCCATTTCGGCACTTAGACCGCTGACGGACCTGTTGGGTGTGCTCTGAGAGTTGTTCGCCTTACTTCGTACTTGCGCATGGATTCCGGCTTTGAAAGCCGAGTCTGTTGGATTCCGCCAGTTTTCAGACGCTTTGTTTTTCCGTTGCAAGGTGCGCTTGACTGCACCATCACGGAGCTTGTATGAGTCTCTGCGTGTGCTCATGCACAGGCTTCGCAAAAAACAGCGTCGTTTTCTTGGGTTTCGTTACCAGGCTCCTAAAAAGCTAGGACGACCCTGTTTGAGAAATGCCCGTGCAAGGCTTGGTCTGCATGCGAGCAGGCACCACCGTGCTGCACGCATGAAAGCACACGGAATACAAGTAGAACCGGAAGAGAAACAGATGCTGGGCTCAGGGTAAGAAAAGCTGAGCCAAGTGCATAGGGGCCCTGGGGGTGTGGCGTCCCTGTTTACTACGGGGGGGATTCTGGGAAACTCTCACATCAACTCAGAATCTACGCATGGATCAGGCCCCAAAACTCAAGCAGAAACCCTGTGAAGTGGTCCTCTGCTCCCCCCACCCACAGACAGCCAGCAAACAAAATAGCTGTATTTATAGCAGGGGGGGTGGAGAGCCTCAGTAATATCAGACCATCAGATTAATTCATGAAAAGGCTGGCCCAACGCATCTCCCAGGTACTTGCTAGGGAACGGCAAAGAACATGGAACCTGCCATACTGTTGATGGATGAAATCTTGCACCACCTAGGGGCCCTACACTACTGTAATTCCTAGGACTTTAGGGACTTGAGGTGGTGCAAGATTTCCTCCATCAACAGTATTGTTCAGGTTAAGGGTCCAGGGCGGGAACTAGGGAAGAGGGGAATGGGCTACATGTCAGTTCCCTCGTTTCCTACTTAGCACAACAGTATACTTATAGGACCATGTATATATATATATAAAGCTATACATATGTGTAAACCCTAAACCATAAACCCCTAACCCCTAAACCTAATGGACCAGAGGAAGAACCTGCAAAGAAGCAAAAACGTTCTCTGAGCAGCATCCAGAATTTCAGCAAGGTCAGTTGCCTTGAGGTCCCTGGCCTGCTACATGGGGGTTTCCTAGGATTTGGGGTTTAGGGTTTAGGGGTTAAGGATGTTTAGGATTTAAGGTTTAGGGATTAGGGTTTGGGGGTTTCCCAACATTAGGGGTACCATTGTAGGGGGGGTCCCCATAGCAAGGATTATCGTATTTTTGGGTCTATATCGGCTCCCCTATTTTGGGAAACTACCACATGCACTGAGGGGTTTAGTGTTTCGGGGTTTGGGGTTTCTTGTGTTTAGGATACGGGGTTCAGGGTTTAGGTTGAACCCAGTAAGACTGAATTCTGTATATACAGTACTCAACAAAAAAGTGGAAGCAATCTTACTCTAGACTGGGCACCATAATATCCTGGAATAAGATACTACTCACCTGCACTTGAATAGCCTAGGCTGTAGGGTTCGGAGTCAATTCTTCTCTGCATGGGAGCAACAAGAGTAAGAGTGAGAGCCATAACAAGAATCAGGCCCAGAACAAGAAGTCGTACTAATCGATGGTGGGACGGCTTCAGCGTTTAGGGGCTCTGGCTCCACCTTCGTACAAATGTTATGACACCAAAGGTCGGCTGTCTTCTTTTTCACTGGAGCAACACTGCAAGCAAATATCAAAGAGGATTTAGGGTTAGGGTTTAGGGTAGGGTAGGATAGGTAGGGTAGGGTACGGGTAGGGTAGGTTGGTTCATTTGGGTGGGATAGGGTGCTATAGGCTGGGGTTGCGTGGGCAGGGTAGGGCATTTAGATGGGGCCGGGTGAGCGCAAAAATGGATTAGGATAGGGCTCAGGGTTTAGGGTATAAGGTTTATAGGGTTTAGCCCTAAACCAGAAACCCTAAACCCTAAATGAGTTGCCCTCCAGGCAGCACAAGGCGCGGATTGTGCCGCATTTGGGTCATGCAGCCACTGAAGTCTCCACCGCCACCAACCAGGGCTCGTTTAGTGCCAGCGCCTATGTCGCAGTGGCCAAGCTCTGCGACCGTCCGTGCGAGGCTCTCCAAACTGGTGGTTGGCTCGCGATCGCCTTCTCTCACGCGTACCACTTGCTGCGGGACGCGCTTTATGCGCTGTTGACCACTCTTCTCGCACGCAGCCTTGTCTTTCCGTGACTTGCCTCCACGTGCGAGTTGGATGATAGCTGACTCCGGAGGCTCCAACGAGGCGTCGGCAAGCCCCCAGGACTTCTTCGCGACACTCCGCACTGTCGCATCACGCAGCGTTGACAACCTTACACGCACACATGCGTCTGAGACGCTGTTACTTTTACGTCTAGTCTCTATGTATATACATAAAAGATATGTATCTATATACACATTCTTTTTGAAACATATATGCTGAGACCGACAAGGTGCATAGTTTCTAGGAGCGCCATGGCTGCTTCCCGCGCGCCAGCGCTCCGGCCACTGAGGGCGCGCATCGCTAAGGCAGCTGTCACCTGGCAGTTCACACGAGCAGGTTGCATGGCCTCCCAGGTGTCATCAGTAATGTCCAGGCCCAGAGTTTCTGAGGTTGTCTCAGCATTCACTATCTCCAGCTTCTTGCAGCTTCGGCGAAGTCGCAGGCCATCTTCCCGGGTCGGATCCACCATGAGCATGCCCTTGCCAAGCGCGTGCAAGTCCTGCCTTAGTCGAAAGAATCCACGAAACTGCACTGGCGAGTAGAGCACATATTCCGTGCCCGAGGACTCTTTCAGCACGTTCAGGCGCACGGCATCACGCCAGCCAATGTCTGACGCGCCGTCAGTGGTGGCATCCTCCCCATGGTAAATGTCGTCCGCAAGCGTAACAGTGAGGTTACTAGGGAAGGCCTGGGCCTCGCTCGGCGACAGCAGGAGAGGCAGCCGGCTATACGCTTCTTGCACACTCGAGGAAGCTTGGAGCAAGCACACGGCAGCCAAACTTTCCGAGAGAGGCTTTGAGGCATAGTAGACCTTCCCGGACTCCTTGCCCACCACAGCCTGCAGACACGGGCGTTGCACAACGGCCACGCCTTGAATAGCCAGCGGCACCAGCCACTGTGGCTTCCGTGTCTTGTTCCCGAATTTGACGCTGAAGACGTCCACTCCCAAACTCCGGCTGAGTCGTGATTCGGGCAGTAACTCCGGCAGCACAGCTACGGCATTTGGCGGAATGAAGACGTCCGGAGCCGTCTTCCTCTGCAGGATGCGACGTTTCAGACACGGTGCTACAACAGTTGGGCCAGTGGGACCCGCGACTGCAGTCTCCGCTGGTCCCCCATCCCCAAAGTCGACATCGCTGCCTGCAGGTTCCTCCTCAGGTAACTCCCACGAATGCGCTGAATGCCGCACCGCTTGCCGGGAGACCGCCCCGCCGTGACTTCTGCCCCAAAAAACGTTCGGCACCCTCAACGCTGCCTCACATATGCTCCCTGCGGCCACGAATTAAAACAGCCCGGCGCCGTCCATCCACTCTCTGCTTCTCGCGGAGTAGAACCGTCTGCGTCATGGAGGGCCCAGAGGTTGCTGCCCAACCGCCCTACCGCAGCGCCCCACCAGGCGCGTGGAGCGGCCCACCAGGGACCAAGGGCGTCCTTCTCTCCGATGACTTCTGGCCACAGGGTGTCCCATGCACCATGCTTTTTCGAGGGGGGGGGGGCGCATTGCTGCCAAACCGCCCTACCGCAGCCCCCTGCCAGCCGGGGGCGTGGAGTGCCTGCCCTGCTCGGCATCCTTCTCTCCGA